AGAGTTTGGGTGTCGACCTGGAGAAGATGTAGCAGGTGAAGATTATGTGATCGAATTACGAAGAAGAATGGACAATGTTCACGAGTTGGTCCGTTCCCATCTCCAGATCGCTAGTGACCGAATGAAGAAACGGTACGATACGCAAGCCGAAAAGGGGTGTTTTAAGAAGAACGATAAAGTCTGGCTTTATAACCCCAAAAAGCGAAAAGGTTGTTCTCCCAAATTGCAGCAGTTTTGGGAAGGTCCATACCTCATTATGGAGAAGATCAATGATGTTATTTACCGAATAAGCAAGATTCCGAGGGAAAGCCGATGATAGTACACCATAACCGGCTGGCGTCTTTCGAAGGTGACCACGACGTAGATGAAGAAGTGGAAGTAAACCAAGTCCAAGATGTGTCTGACCTCACGTTTAAGGAATTCATGGGTGCCTATGGAGGTACCGGTAAAGCAAGACATGGTGTTACCACTGAAGAAAAGCAAGATCTACTCGCGCTTCCCGATGACTACTCACTGGCCCTTACCATCCCGGCCAGTATCAAAGACGCACCAGGGTTGGCATCCGTCTTTCGAAGGAAGCTCGGTCGAGTTGCAGAACTTCAATGCCAAGTGCCAGCTCCTGGAAAAGCCTTAAAACTTCAAGATGCATCACGTTACCTTTTCTACCTGGTAACAAAAGACACTGCCCGTGATCAACCTACCTACCGAGATGTATGGGAAGCCTTACTTCAGTTGAGAGAGCACGTACTAGAGTCCGACGTGCAAAAGTTAGCCATGCCAAAGTTGGAGTGCCGCCAATTAGATTGGAGGGTTATACGAAACATGGTGGAGGAAATCTTTAAAGACACCGAAGTCCAGGTGTTAGTCTGTTGCAATCCGCATAGTTACTGGTGCGGAGAGAAAACCGTCCCTTGTCATTTCTATACAACTGGAAGTTGTAAAAGAGGGTCCAGTTGCCGATATCAGCATGTCGTTCCAGTTCCAGTCCCGACAAGGTTCCAGGAGGAACCATCTTTTAAGAGGGGGGCAATGTTACGATTTTAAATGTTATGGCATATAGAACTGTAAATATTTTATGACTAATTCTTTTATTGATTCTCGTAATTTCTAGGTCAAAAATCTACCTGAATCGAATGTTCTGGGGGCGACAAGCCGATAAAAAAACATGTTTTGAGACCAGTCGCCGCTGTGTCTACATCGAGAACAGCATGGTATTTTCTACACCTTTCTGTTTACCGGCTTGGAATTATATAAATAAGGGAATACTTTCATTGAGGAGGCAGTCATAAGAAGATCGGTACACGCGGTATTTAAATGTAACGAAACGTGAAATAAATACATTTTGTAAAGTTATTTAATAAATTAGTAATTAGCTATCGTGAGTTTTAATAAATTAGATTATAGACAATAAATTAGAATAAAGACAAATAAATTAGAACTATATAAACGCCACAATACTAACGAAATACAAGATAAAAGTTAAGGGTGGACTTTAAAAAGTAAAATAAGAATGTACTTAATAACATTCATACAGGTAACAAGAGGTAGGTAATTAGGTAATCAAATATATTTACTATTGAAAAGCTCGTTTGCTTGCTTTCACTGAAGCCAAGTTTTCGATGATATCATTTATATTTAATTCATTTAGCAGGTCCTCGTTAATGGATAAAACTGCTAAGAAGTTTAAATTTTCTTTAGAAATTTCATTTCTTAAGTAGGTCTTTACCATTTTTCAGTACCATTCGCTGTTATATATTTTCAATACTATTATATGGAGCTGAGACTTGGACATTAACAAAATGTATTGGTTATACCGCAAAGTATTGAAAATATCATGGACTGATAGAATTACAAATAAAGAAGTACTGGAGAGGGTTGGTAAAGAAACAGATGTAATCACCACTGTACAAACCGGAAAACTGGAATACCTAGACCACGTGATGAGGGGACCAAAATATGAAATTTTGAGACTGATAATACAGGGAAAGATTCAAGGAAGAAGATCTGTTGGCCGAAGGCAGAACTCATGGTTAAAGAATCAACGTGATTGGTACCAATGCTGATCGATTGATTTGTTTAGAGCAGCAAGTTCTAAAATAAAAATAGTCATTATGATTGCCAACCTCCGTAGGGAGACAGCACTCTAAGAAGAAGAAGCATAATTTTTGTTTCCGGTTAACAACATTCCTAAGGCCTCGTAGTGATCAAAATGATCACGTAAGAAATTAAAGTAATCTGCTAAAGATGATAATAGATGAGCTGTAGTGCTTAAATCCATATTTTCCTTTTGTACTGTTTAATTAACCTCATTAACCTTTTGTAAAAGGTTAAGCCAGAATGATATAATTATTCCGTTTTTCAACAAATCAAGTTTTTCCAATAGAGAAGCTGCTTAAACTCTTACATTTTTTTCATTTATATCCGTTGACATTTCAATCAAACATATTTTAATCAAGGCGTTGCTTTTTAACGCTTTTACGGCATTAAAACGAGAAGACCAACGGGTTGTATTCACTCTTTTAGGTAACAGTGTTTGCACCGACTCAGGCGAATCCTTTATTGCACGAGACAATAACTCCCACCTGTATGTAGACACTGAGAAAAAATGTAGATAGCTTGTACCAACATAAAAAAGATTTTGCTTCCAAACAACCATCTGCTGTATTTCGGTCAACCAAATTTAAAGAGTGAGCAGCACATATGGCACAAAGAGCTAAATTATTGTAAACTTTAATACGTGCTTGCAAACCAGAATATTTGCCATTCATATTACTAGCATTGTCATAAGACTGGCTTCTACAGTTAATAATATCTAATTTTAAAGATTCTAAACATACCAATAACTGTTTCCTAAGTTCTTGTAAACTATGCCCAGTGTTTTTATAAAATCCCACTAATCTTTCCACGGGATTCGCTTTATTAAGACAATATCTCAAAATCACTGTAAGTGGGTCATGGTGTGTTATGTCAGGTGTTGAATCTACACTTATAGAATAGTATTTGTTTGCCTTTATTTGCTTAACAATTTCATCAATGAATCGATTGGATAAAATATTTAGTAATTCGTTACATATATTTTTTGATAGATATGACGTGCCCTTACCTAAATTTGCTCGTTTATTAATATGATCTTTTAAAAATGGATCATATTCTGACAATAGTTCCAGTAAACCTAAGTAGTTTCTATTCCGTTTTTCGCCAATTATTTCATGAGTAAATCTAAATTTCAATTCTCTGATAGCCAGAAACTTTATTACACCTATAATTCTTTTTAGTTCTTTAACCCAATATTCTTTCGCTGTTCTAATTTCCTTTTCGAGTTCTACATCTACTCTTCCTTGCTTTAATAAGCGAGTCGTATAAATTTTCAGATTATCTCTAGGATGATTGGATTTTTCATGCTCGTCAAATATGTCCTTACTTTTATTCCATAATGAAAATCCTGTTTTAAATTTATTCTTTTTTTTTCAATTAAGACACAATAAAGATAAAATATATTGCCAGTATTCTCAGAGTAAATTGCCCAATCGCGGCAAAATACTTCTCCATTAACCAGCTTTTTATAAAATATTTGCTTATTGGCATACCTGGTTTGTTCGTCGAAATTTCTCTTTGACATTGAAAGTACATATCTGTAAGATTGTGATCGACCCATTTCTAGAATCATTTCTGAATAAATATGGTAATCTTGCCAAAGTGGTGGATCTTTCAAGTTAAAGGTACGCTTCGCGCGTATCGCCCTGGAACCTTCTACTGTTCGGTGCTACAGCTCCGAAAAGACCCTGGTTAAACCGGCATTACATCATATATATCCGTTGTTATTGGTCCGATTGGAGCGTGTGATGCGTTAAATGAAAGAGGGGGGAAGGATTATATTAAGATAGAAAAAAAAACAAACAAGATGACTACTAAACGAGCACTACACCTTATCTTCGTTATTAATGAACGTATGGCTACGTACGAGATATCACATGACAGTATAAATATATATAATTTGCTTATTCGGTTTGTCTGTCCGTCTCTATGTAAGGAAAATCTCAGCGCCAGCATTACATCATAGCTCTGTTGTTACTGGTCCGATTGGAGCGTGTGATGCGTTAAATGAAAGGGGATAACGATTATATGAAGATAGAAAAACGAACAAGTCGACTAGCAAAAAGGCACTACACATTAAGAGTTCGTCATGGTGCTGTCACTTGGTGCTCGGTGTATATTAATATATACGTCTGTACACTACTTTTGACAGAATTCTTAGATTATCTTTGTTGAAAACGATTTCCGGATTGAAAAACGAAACGTAAAATTTTTAGTTAAAAATGTAATTATCATTACAATCAATTGTAGCTTAATCCCATATAAACACATTGTGTATATATTAATTCCATATAAACACGTGTACAATAACGTCTATGGTATAAATACCGTTTCAACAAGCGACATCTTATTTAGAAATCTAAGTTCTAATAAGTTGGGGGCATTCTCGGAGATTTTAGGAACTCACTAGTAGATGTCGCCAATATCAAATATTCTTATATTTTTCATAATTCCAGTTGTCATCACTTACTCCTGTGGCAACCAGCACCGGTCAGCCTATATAAAATAGTAAGGAATTTGTGAAAATGAGATTTTTTTGGCAATCGAAGGAGACAGTTACGTTACTGTTATATTCTTCTACAGTATAAATGCGTTAGCCCTTAATTTATTAATAGACTCTTTATAAATACTTTTTTACTTTTGGTGTTTTGTTTTTAACACTACCTACATTACTACATATAGCGCAGTTACTCGAAGATCATCAGTGGTAAAGGGAAATCTATACGTCCGCTGACGAATCGCTTTTGATAATATTTGCTGCAGTTACATACATAACTCAGAAACAAACAATTCCGGAGCACGTCATATAAACTCCGGTAGCATTACACATTTACAAAATACCCCACTGCGAAAGCCTACATTCATTGAGAATCGAAAAGGTCATTTTAAACACAATTAATTTGTTTGAATATTTTATTCTGTAACATTACATTTCAAATTTAAAAACAGATATATCTACAAAAAATAGAATGTACAGTGAAATAACTAATTAAAATATCACAAAGAAAAACTAAACACTACTATCTAAGATTCCAAGTATAAAAAGTATTATTGCAAGAAAATAATGAAACTAAAGCACCATTAAGTTAATATTGTGTGAGTTCCAGTTCTCGAAAATAGGTTTTAGTACATAACATATAAAACGAGGATTCCAGAAGGCAAAGATTTTACACATTGTGTATTTTAGTCTAATATTCAGACCAGTAGCTTCTGTACATTTTATATTTTGGCATAATATAAGCAGCAAATAAATATTATGGCACACGGTATTGAACTATATTACAATACCAAAGGTGTAGCAAAATTTACAATTTTCCATTTCCACTCACTCTAGTATTACTTACATTATTTGTGTATTTATTTTCCTTTTGATTTTACCGATATTATGATGCATTCACAAAAAGGTGTTAAACTAAATGGCTGTAAACATATATTTAACTACTGATCTAATCTGTTGATAGTTAAAAATGCCAAAAATTAATCTATACAAAACTACTGACTCGTGATAAACTAAACTTATGCTTTTCTTAAGTGATACCATAAATGTAATATTAAAATAACTTAGTAAAAAAACAAACATGGGATAAATAAAAAAAAATGAGGCAGCAACAGATAGAAATTGAATTATTATATAGTAATAGTAGTCGCCACATATTCATGTCTTATTTGTTTCAGTCTTTTAAGTTATTAATTTCATTTTTTATGTATATAGTTGACTACATCTATAACACACCTTCTTGTGAGTTTTGGTTTTGCAGGAAAAAACTTCAAACATATTTAAATCCTATGTGGAAATGGATACAAATTAATAATCTACTTCGAAATGTAAAAAAGTGCGTTTTTATGGATCATAGCTAAAGATCTAAAAGTCTGGTTTGGATATAAGGTCCACTTTTTCACAGCATATTTTCTGAGTATAGTAAATTAAGTTTAATTTTATTGGTTGTTGCTATTTGCAAAACCAGCCAAAAACATTGTCGACGTTGATCTCTTTTCATCCAGTATCATCGTTTTTTTGTGAAGTACTTCCCGACAAAACCAATATTTTCTAGAACATGAACACACACAACAAATCAATTTTTGAAAACCCTCCATAATTTCTATTATCTAATTTTTTTTATATATTTAATTATTTCAAATACTACCGTTAATGGTACACAATAGCAAAATATATATATTTTTTATTAATCACTGATAATGATAGTAGTCTTTTACCTGTATATTTTAATCGATTCATAAAGATACAACAAAAACCACTAAAACTAAAAAACAAAAAATAAGGTACTGAGATTAAGACAGTCCACCTACATTTAGACTCATTCTAAATTAAATGAGCTCAAGAAAATTGCTATATGCTTTACGTTCGGTTTTTATTAGTTATTAGCCGCTTTGATACTAAATATATGTAGTCACTGTTAATGCTTTAACGACACCACCGACATTTTCACACCAATTCATCGACTCCTAATGATTGGTAAACAATTGGAACGTCGATATTCATTCGTGAGAATATGCGATGGGTTAGTTATAGCAAAGTATTAATATTATCTGCTCTTCAGATAGATTTACGGGCGCCACTGTTTTATTGTAACGATTTACTTAACAGACTTTGCCGAAAAGGGTAGTTCTAAAAACCTGCGCGACAAACTTCAACAGCATTGGCATTTATGTTACATTATTATGTAATACTGTTCAACTGCTACTGACAGTAGTTCAATAGGTTCCAACAGATTTTTAGGATTAAATTTCTTTATTCGATCATTTATAAGTCTAATTTCTGGCCAACGCATTTTAACTTTAGTAAAGTGAGAAATTTAATTAAATTCTTAAAGAGCTTATCCTTTTTGGTAATGCTGTCGTTCCTCAGTGACTATTTGTGATGAGTTGATAGTAACAATCGCCATTATTAAATCTTTAACTGTACTGAATGCAACTAGCATTGCAACAGGGGTAAAAAATGATTATTATCAATGAATATACATATTAAGGATCAAAGGGAAATATAGGAAATATTACACATTTTATCAAAAAAGTATATATTTGGGTACTAAAAGTGATCTGAAATCGAAAAAACGTACTGGCAAAAAAAAATACATTGTTTTATCGAAGATACGTTTTTAAAAAATCTTAATGTTAGAACCAACCCTATATATCTTCTAATACGTGAACACACAAAGGACATGATGAAACAATATTTAGATGAAACTTGATTAAACGAAGAACACACGTAAAGTATTGTCAAACAGCCGAATATTAAAAGATCAAAACACACGTTTTTGGAATAATGGCCGTCTGACTTAAAATCATCTTGTTCCTATTGTATGAGAATTGCAACAACGTGTGCAAGGAAAACACAATGTAAATCAACTTGGTACGTATAAAGATTCTGTTTCAAAACAAATCAAAAAGGGCACAACTCTTTTTCAAAGTTGTAACGGTTCAAAAATCTTTTTTTTTTAGTTCCATTTAATTCAGAAAGCAGTAACTTTTATGCGACCCTGCATAAGGGTTTAATTCTGCACCTTAAACTTATATATTCGAACGTTAGGTTATCATAAATATCTCAGAATCTTCAAAAGGGAAACATTTGAATTCTGAACGAAAGGGCCTATGCTATTTGTTTATGTGTAAGTCTTAATTGCACCAAATAAAAGCAACCACGTCCCCTTTAAATCGTTTTATCTGTAAGAATTACGATTAAAAGATAAGCACATTAAGTATCTGTTTAAAAGTTGACAAATGCCTCTGGCAGATTCCTCTGAGATCGATCAATCGATCGATATTCTCCTAATTGTTATTCTTTTCAATTTTTCTTTTGTTTATGTGCTAGAGAGAACGATCCAAAGAACCACACCGATTCTGAGCAACGCGGTCTCATTCATTTTGTGTTTCTCAAACACTGTTCATTGATTGTTGTGTTACCAAGCCATAAAATGAAGTTTTAGATAAATATGAAAGTCGAATACAAGTAAAATATCTACAACGCAAGTGTAATAGTTATTTAAGAAAGGCTCATTGCGGCAATTGAATAATTCGCGAAGCTTCTGATATTGAAAAGCTTGTTATGTAAAAAGAAAATATTTGAAAATATCAACAAGTAATAAATTTTTCTTTTAAGGTCAGTTACTAACAAGTCCCGTTCCGAAGGTGCTTCTTCTGGTGTCATATCCATTTTAGACGGAAGTCGCTCCTGAAAAGCTACCGCAATAAAAGTATTAATACAACTAATCCTATACCCTTTCAATTATGGTGATTCTTGATTTTCATAAGATTAACAGTGACTATATAATACTTTTAATACCAAATAATCCAATAACAACCGATTTCTAAAATTAGCACTACAAGCATCGTTACAGAGTATGAAATAGTAAAGCAGGTATTTAAAGACAGTGCAATCAACAAATATGTTGAAAAGTTTGTTGAATGTACCAAATTTTAAATGCTTTATAAGAAAAGGTAAAAAAGAAATGGACTTACAATTGATTTGATTATAACTTGGACGACCGGTTTCGAGATCTACAATTTCAGATCATCTTCAGGTTCCTGATAAAAGGTTACGACACTAAAAAAAAAAGAGAAGAACTGCTACAGTTGTTATAGGTTTTTAAGTATAGATTATATCAATACTATGCGTACAATATACTATTGCTATGGACCCAGTTCGTGTGATAGGGGTGATACAATGGATCCGTCTTAGGAAGTCTAAGTGTCTGACAGGCTCACAACTGTGCCCGATCTACCATAATCAAAAGCCTATAATATGGAAACTTATAAATAATATACAAGTATTTATTACAGGGCGATATATTTACAGTAAGTGCTCAATTTGTTTGATTTTACAAGGGCAATGCTGGCGAAGGAACCAAAATGGCACTGCCTTGGTAAAATCAAGCTAAAATATTGTACTGTAAACCTATTGCCTTGTAGCGTCATGTAAGTATACTTGCTCATTTTAGGCTTAGTATTGGCATAATTTATACTTAATAACCTATAAAAACTGTAGAATAGTTCTCTCTCTCTTTTTTTAGTGGTCAAGTAACCGTTTATCGGGAATCTGAAAATGGGCTGAAATTGTAGAGCCCGAAACCGGTCATCCAGGTTACAATAAAACCAATTACGAGTAAGTATTGTTCTTTTTTACCTTTTGAAAATGGAGTCACATTTGCAAACAATTTATCATTTGCTTTATAAGAAATACCTAACTACAGCTTGCTAAGTTGTGTTCTTCGTAGTAGTAAAGGTCGCAATATAGGTGGGATCTTTGAATAAGAGAGAAAATAGATTAAATATTTTTAGAATATCGAAGTTGGTGATTATTTGCAACATACAGCATCCACCATTTTATTTATTATTCAGACATGTACAGTGACAATTGTAAAACTATATCGTTAAATACATATTAGTTTTAAAATGATCGAATACAATGTAAAATAAAAGTTTAACCTGAAAGTTTAAGACATTATTTAAAAAAAAGGACCGGTATGTATAAAGTACATGAAAACGCATATTTCGTACAAAAGTCAGTTGTAATAGTAATCTACAGTAAGCGCTCGCGAGGTGAGATGAATGCAGGGTAGCTCCAGAAAAAAAGATTGCTAAGTTTGAAATTGTGTTAACCAAACTAGAAACTGTCAAGGAATTTTAACAAAAAACTGACATAACTTCGCCTTATGTTACCCTATATTAGTCATCATTTGACTGGTCTCTTAAGCTTCACGTTATGCGGGTGACAATTATCTTTGATTTTTTGGTGTAATCTGTTTTCATTTTATAAGAACCTTTCTAAGTAAGATGTTCGTTAAACACCACTCATATTGCTATGAACGACAAATCTTTGAATATTGATAGCATGCAGAACAAGAGAGTATACAGGTTAACACAATATTTTTTTCAATAAGCATTAGAAATGCAGAGTCATAACAATTATCCAAGGACACATTTTACTTTGCAACATGTTTAGACACAACATACATATTGTACACGACATTGACCTTTGTACAGCTGATAATGCAAGACAAAGAAAGAGAAGACAAACGACAACTTGGCTACGTAAAATCAAAGTAGATCTCTAGACGATAAAAGTGTGAGAAAAAATGGAACAGACCGAACCTGTTTGGACGTAATTCAAACTGTAAGAATGTTCAATACTTCTTACTGGAAAATCCAAGCAAATAAGAAATAGATCGTTGTATAAAACTTAAGAAGTCATGGTACTTCAAAGCTTGCACTACTAAGAAACTGTTCGGGTCTCAAAGTATTGATTACTATATTTTATCGAGAAAATACACTGACAATTACTGTAGAGATAGATAATGGTTACATATTAATACTTCAGGTGGCTCCACAAATAGTAAAGTGATTTCTGCATGGTATATGTTTTAGATACCGACAAAAACAAAACATTTAATACCAAAAAAGATTCTTCACGACTAAAGATTACCATTAATTTACGATTATAAAGACAACTCTATGTATAATTTAAAGAACAACCAACTTTTTAAAGCTTTAATATTAATATTTAATAAATGGTCTTCCTGGGTGTAATTTTTCAGTAAAAAATATTTAAACTCGTTTCAACGGTTTATTTGTATGAAGAATCTTCCAAGAATGTCATTTAAAAAGGTACACTCTTCAGTACGTTAGGTACACACTCCCAGATCCGCAAATTCATATACACTGGAAGAACTTACACACACGAAGTAACCTTCTCTAGTAAAGATAATAATCTTGTCAAATATGAGATAAATCAAATACACACCGCATAAAACATAAAAAGAGTGATGTATCACTGGGTGATAAGACATATTTTGACCTTCTTACAGAATGCAGCAAAGTGATATTTATACCATCTTTGTAAATTGTGAGTTATACAGTTTTTATTAATTTTCTTAAAAACGGAAGTGATTATTTCCGTTTTGACAATCTTTGCTGAAATAAATAACTTGTGCTGAATCGGAATCCATGTCAGTTTGCTCTACATAAATACAGTTTTTTCATTCCAAGATTTGACAGATAAACGGACGGACGGACAGACAAACATGATCTATAGGAACGAAAATTTAATTTTCGTATGATAATTTCGAAATTTGGATCCATAAGCCATATCTTTTCTGTGAAAATATTGTCTACAAAGCTATCATCACAAAGCGCTTAATAGTTCCACTTCTGTAGTTTATCAGTTCCGAGTACAAAATTTAGCTTTCCGATATATCATAGATGAATCTTTGGTAATATTGTTTGAATTTTCAGTATAATTTCTCTTATAGTTGTAAACTATGGTATGTTAAGTACTACTAGTATTTTAGAAATAACTTTTATAATTCAAATTAATGGTTTAAATTAGGGATGTACCGAATCTGGCCAATCCAGCTGGAACAGGAATTCTTATAGCTAACCAGACCGGAGCCCAGAAGTCCGGCCTACCTATAAGGAAGTAATCCAACCACTTAATTTTAGTTTATAAGTACTTACGATAACATTTTTTGTTCTGTCTGATAAATTGTTCTGTCCAGACTAGACAGCTAACTTTAATAGAATTCAAAACTTTAAACAAAGTATGGAACATCAATCATAAACCTGCAGAGATAATTCATTCTAAAATTGCGGAAATGATTTGTATGGATAATCAACTGCTCTCCTTGGTAAAAATGCTGAGTTTAAGAGACTGCTAAATACTGTTCCTCAATATAAAACACCCTTCAGAAAATATATAAGTGAAAAAATAATCCCTGATATTTACAATACGGAAAAATTTTTAGGTTAGGTAAAAAAATCGACATCGATTTCTTTAGCATCAAAGTTTTATTAGTGTGACAGGCCTCTGGATTTCAGAAATATGGGATAAACGCAATGCAATTATTAAATAATTTGAATTATGTGATAAATTTACAGGTAGTTATTCCGAACTTGCACTAGCTGACAAAATTGCAACATTGACACATATTGGTCATTGAGAAACAAAAAATTAATTTATGGTTCAGGAACAGCGGAGCTATATGGTAAAAGGCTGTAAAGATGCAGAAATAAACAGTGAGTGGTGTTTTTTACACAAACTGCAATTAATAACCAATGACAGAAAAATCCTCAAAGAACCGTGTAAGATATGATAAGTACTGTCTGCCGAATTGCAACTCATTTCAATTACTCGTCTTAAGAATGCAAAAATAAAAAAACACAAGAGTTAAGTATGTACTAGAAAAAATTATTCAAGATGTACGAACACAGTAGAATTCAACTTCTAGATGTAAGAAAGGTTGCTTCACTTGAGAAGTTGTGTAATTATTTATCTTACTCAAAGTAGCGTTATAAATAATTTAAGCAGTAACCAATGGGACTTTTTGCAATTTGCCTTTGAATTACTTACACCATTTGAAGAGATAACGAAACTAATGAGCAACATGGACACAGTTATTTATAATAAAATAATAAAACAGTTATATGACGTTGAAACTATGAAAGAAAAAGCCATTACTGGAATCAACAAACGGTTTTCCGATTAGGAGTCAAAGTTTTATCATATCTACTATTTAAGATCGCAGATATACAACATATTCTTTTTCAAGCAATACTTTAGTTTGAAAAAACAAATTGGAAGTATGTTAATCACGATAGAGATTAATAGGAGGAGTTGGGAGAGACCTATGTACAAAAATGGATGATAGAAACCTAATCAGAAGAAGAAGACTATATGTGAAGCTATTAAATTTGTTGGCTTATTAATTTAACTTATTTTAAAATTTTCCAAATTCCGGCCGGATCATGATGCTGACCCGACAGAAACGGTAGTTCGGATCAATTAGCCGGATTAGTGGTACCGCCGGAATTCCGGTAAATCCCTAGTCTAATTAATAATTTATAATAGTTTTAAAAATACAAGAAAAATACTTGACATCAAAGTAGCCTAGACTGCTTTTATATGATGTTTACAACAAAATTAATTAAAAAAGGTACAGTCTGGGCGTTCCATTCCAATCTCAATATTGATACTTTTACTTATTAAAACTTAGAATCACTGTTCGTAAATCATAACATTCTTTTTCTTTACTTATATGTAAATAATTATTTAATGTATTGTAATTTAATTGTATATACACACCGTAGGAAGAAATAAACATATTAGATTTAATAAAGCATTGAATGCTATGCTTTTAAATGGTTATTATCAACTCTGCTGGTTTTTTTTTGTTAATAATTTTCACATTCTATTAAATCGGTTAAATCTATTAAAGAACGATGTTGTTAACGTCATTATTCCGGTTTTTCAATCGATCGTTTTTGTTTGAAAATCCCATTTCTAGTCGCACAAAAACGAAAAAATTGGTTGTGGAAAACCGTACTATAATGCGTGGATAATACAACTGTAAGTTGTATAATATATTATGTATTATATATTTGAGGAACTTAATTTTATTGCTGGGAGAAAAATAAATACATGTATGTTACTAGCGTCATTAATACTAATACTGAATAGAGTACAATAATCTGTGCGAAGTTTTAAAATCTCTGAGTTCATCTATCCATTTCTTAGCATCCCAATCGTGTATAATCAGGTTTACTGAAAAATAAATTGGGGAAGAAAAGATAAAGTCCTTTAGAGTCTTTTAGAATTGTTTATAATTTACAATTAACTGATACACTATTATAAATCGTTAAATTGGCAAATGCGAATAGCTTTTATTAATATAAAATTACAAAAGAATCTTATGAACAAATAATAATTTGTTTTAAAGTATGTGAATTTATAGTTTATAGAAGATATATATTCTAACGAATTGTATAAGTTTTCATTAGCAAATTAATTCTATTCTTTGGCACAATAATTACAAAATCTTACCATAAACATGTTTTTGCCGTCAGATAGTAATATTTTATTCATAATTTTATTATTTTTCTGATCAATATCGAGATAGCAATGGAACATATGCATAATGAACGTTTAACTTTCTTTGAAGTACCGATAGAGTCAAGCTGTTTTATTTAAAATCTCAGCTGTTTTATTTTATTCAAATCTCTATTGTTGGAGAAATAAATATATTCTTTTTACTTCATATCGAAGGATGAAACTTCAAAGATTTCCAGGAGAAGTCCAGGAATCGATTTAGTTATCAGGAATAGCTCAAGTGGTTTGGCTTCATATAAATGTGTGGTCATCAAAATTATTTAGTTCGAAATTTGGTTATAATTAAGATACTCCAACTTTGGTGGAAGCAAATAAGCAATAACTAAAGCTAATCTAAAAATTTCTAGTCAACTGTCTTTTTTACTGATAGAAACCAAAATCACAAAATCATCATCATAATCCAGCCTTCTGCGTCTGAAATTAAACATAAGACTAGCCTAATTATACAACAATACTAGTTAAAACAAAGACAGCAAATATCTGGGTGTTAGACGAGTTAAAGCCAACAAAATTCGTCCGCGCTCGTAGCGTTAGCAAACAAATGGTCGAGGTTTTTTTTTGGAAAAAGGGAAACATGCCATCCTCTTGCATCAGAACAATGACAGCTCTCACACGGCTCATATAATATCCGAGTATTTGAAGGGCGAAAAACATAGATTTGGTTAGGCATCCTTCATAAAGTCCTTACTCTGCACCGTGTGATTTTTTTCGCGCCAGATGAGGCGTTCGAGAATACAAAAATGTCATTTCTGACATACCAATTTCGAATTAGCATAAATGCTTCGACGACTGTAGTGTGACTGAAGTGTATTAATCTTAAAGGCGAATGCTTTGAAAAACAATAAAGCTGATTGTCCCCAAAAATATGTTTTCCTTCTATGATTTGTGCAAAACTTTTAGTATACGCATCGTACCTTTGTGTTTGATTTCCTATGGTATCTTTATATTGACGTTTCGTGATTTGACCTATCCTCATTTTTACATTGACCTATGGTGAAATAAATTTTATTTTGATTTAATCCACATGATTTAAATGATGACGTTTGTGAAAATATCCAGCGAACCAATTACGCATTAATTACCCGGTATATATGTCTAACTAACTAATCTCATACAATTTAGATACGAAAACAACTACATCGCCGAAAGAATGCGACTAAAATGATCACCAATTAGTAGCAAAAAAATTGCGCACTACAAAAATATCTCCAAAGTTACCTTTTTTCATGACTACACATATATGCGACAAACCAGAGCTGTGCAAACCCTTGTGTGTAAATAGAAATACAACTAACAAAAACATAAACGTATCATTGGGATGTTTTAATAAAATTCTTCGGTCCAAGTAATTTTAATCGAAAACATTCAGATTACTTTTAAACAACAATGTCAACGAAAAGATAAATAAAATTTTTTCCTATTTGGAAAACTAATTTTCCTAAAAAATAAAATACCTATCAATAGATCGGTGTATCAGGTATTTCACATTGTCCGATCGTTACTCGATGCATCGCCATTTCAGATATACCATGATAATGAACAAGAGCGCCGCCCAATACGAAAACGTGGAAGATTTGATGTGAGTGCAACCAGATATCACATTTGCCGGGGAACCACCGTTCGGGTATACGAAGCGCGTAGAACATGGCGCCAACGATGTACAGCATTCCCATAAGTACTAACCAACCAAGGTATTTTTGGCTAACATAGTTAAACCAACCTAAAAAATAAATGGTTACATGGTTAGAAAAAGCTACAATTATATTATAGGAAAATAAACATAACCGTCACTAACGGTTAATGCATGTATAAAGTGAAAGGTTTCAATTATTTGTTGTTGAGTTATTCCTGTCCAATCGCGAATGTGCTTTAGCTAGGACATCTGTTTCCTTCCAATTCCTGATAGCATGTATTCCTGTCTGATCCTTCGTTGAATTTAAAATTCGTCGGTTACTCATCCAGTAATTCGAATGACGGCTTTCTATTTCCAATATAAGTTTTCTATATTATGCGGATCTCTACCATCAATGCCCTTCGTTCTTAATGTATTCCAAAGCGTTGCATGCTGTATCCTAGCAAAAGCTTTTTTGTAATCGATGAAATCTGCATAAATATTATTATGTTGGTCGCGGCACTTTTGGAGAAGTATACTTAAAACAAAAAAGCTAAAGTTACCTAAAGCTAAACGAGATTACATCTAGGTCGCTTCTAAGTGACTTCTTATTCTTCCATGAACAATACGAAGAACAATTTTCAAAAGTCTGACTCACTGGACCAATTGATCTTTATTCGTTGTATTGTTTTATCTGCAATTTCTCCAGAAGTTCTCTAAAAAAAGACTTCAGCCATTTCTCAGATATTTTAGCAGTAGTATCGTCTGGTCCAATTGCTTTCTTGGTTTTGGCTGATTTTATGGCTCGAAGAACTTCAGATTTTACACTTTCAGGTCCTTCTTGATTTACTTTACCCTGTATGTTTGGTCTGTCATCTCCAAACAATTCAGTTTTATAGTTACTCCATATTTCATGGAAGGTACAGTCTCGAAGCTATTAACACTTTTTAAAAAGGGTCAGGCTAGAGAATGTTATCTAGGACTAGAGGACCACAATACATCTAAAAAGGTCGGGAGTGGAATACGACAAAAGGACACCTCTCTAAATCTATCTATCTACTCCATATTTCAAGAATTTCTCGTTCATAAATAACTTTTCGTGTATTATATACGAGAATATTAGTGGATTCTTTTTATACAGGCCAGCAACTTCACGAACTTTCTTGTGCATAGTGAACATGTCCTGCTCTTTTCTAATTCTTCCATTTCTGAACATCCACTTTTTTAGCTGCTCGCTTTTTTCGTTTTATCTATCTCTATTTTTTCTGCTTTTTCCTGAGATTGCCTTCTTTGTTACAACTAAATCCGACGAGATCTTTTGATCAAGAATTTAATTTATCTGATTTCTTGTAACAGACAGTGGATTATCAGCACGGGCTATCCAAGTATAAAACCTGCGTTGATGAATTCATAACATGTGTTTGTGACATTATACTTGGATTTTGGCAAAAATCAAACAACCTACCCTTCGTTCATTGCTTTGATTTCATTATATTATAAGTTTTTTGATTATACACTAAGCTTATTATACAGACTTTTTCAGGTATTAGGTAATATATTTGTAATAGGTTAATAGTAAATGGAGAGGCGCGTAGCTGTAACAGCATTGGGAGAATGTTAAGGAGATATTTCCCACTCTCGAAATGATACAATATATCATCTTTGTGTATGCATCTCCCTAAGCCAGACCAGCGTAATTCGCTTACATCCATCATTGACAATTTTAAGCGTTTAGTCTCCTGAATAAAATTTTTCGGAAGCATAATGATTTTAAAACATGGGTATTCTTAACACGCGGAGCCGTGTTAATCGGGGCCGAATTTTTGTTTTCCTCGCCATAGCAATATCCTGGGTTTCGGGAAATGGTTTCCAGTTATCATCACTCTTTTTAGGTTCAGCCGCCTTCAACGTTAGAACAAATACTGTTTGTAACTCTCCACTTTACATTTTATTAATGATTTGTATTTTGAGAACGATTTCCGAAATGGAAATTGAAACGTCAATAAACTTATTTTAAACTTAAATTGTAACTTATTTCCAATTAAAATAGGAATTGCTATAAGGTATAAATGAATAAATTCAAGTACGTACAATTCTCTGGCGCAAGCTCTTGCTACAACATTAACACCGAGACAACAGTGGTCCAACTAAGCTATAGTAAAGTCTTCCGCTAATAAGCTATAGTATAATAACTACTAAATGGTATGGTATACTGTTAACTACTAGTGTCGCCGATAGCTTATGCTACGATGTCTGTTAATATAGTTTATGACGTGATATGTAGGTTTATACATTGTTAAAATCATGATTTGAGAGAGCCTCTCGTAACATTCATAATGTATTGGTTTGTTTATCCCTAATGCATATTTACTGCATATTTTATTTAGGTTCTTCTTGGTCCATGGAAGATTAAAGCTCACTAAAGTTACAAATCACTCCGAATAATGAGAACTTAAAGACTTAAAACTTGATACATAATTCGTCGTCTCGCATCAGCTTGTCAGATGTGTAAGTTGCTAGCATTAATAATAGCATAAGTTTGTTGGTCCTTCGATACAATTTTAGTTGTATTTGTTAGTAATTAAAAAATATAGTTCAAATATATCAGAAAATAATAAAACTACCAAATAAATAAAAATGGCAATTTACCTTCCACAATTCCATAATGGATGGCGGGTACGATTCCACTTAAACCAAAGGTCATGAATACTGCTGCCCTAAATGGACGCCAACCCGATTCCGAGAATTTGTCCCACAGACTTACCATAATACTAGTTATTCCTAAAGCACATACAACCTAAAAATAACAAAAATATTCTTGTAGTAGATATAGTATTTTCTATTTGTATTAAAATATATGTAATGTAGCAATAATATCTATCCATTCCTATGTAATTCTTGTAGTAGATATAGTATTTTCTATTTGTATTAAAATATATGTAATGTAGCAATAATATCTATCCATTCCTATGTAATGTGTTTTTGTGTTCTACTAGATCAAACAACTAGACACTTAGAAGTATAATAATTGACGATTTAGAACTGGAAGCGCTAAAAGAGAATGTTTGAGGCGCAGGTGTTGCAGCTTTGAGTTTTATAGAAGTTTTAGGGAACCTGACGTAAAATTCATTGACATTTTGAACTTTATAGAAGTTTTGAAGAACCCGACATTGTAAAATTCATTAAGGTAGCACGCCTTACATGGATAGGGCATATAATCAGGCGAGAGGAAAGTGCAGCAGTCAGAAAAGGTTTTAACCGAAGAGGGCCAATGGGACAACGAGCAGAGGAATTCCTGTCTCATTAGAGTCTCATGACCGAGACTTAGGTATCAAGAGAACCTTAGGTAATAAGACAACTTGGACGATGATTTAAAATCTATTGGAGTTAGAGCATGGAGAGGAGTTGCCAGAGGCAGGGATGAATTGAGGCTTGTTTTGCAGAGCTGTGATGGCACTGATGATGAGTTGTCCGCGTAACATAATATTTTGATTTCGTTTTTCCCCATTCTGTATCCTTTTCCAAATTATTTTACCTCATTTATAGTATCATCCATTATAATATTAAATAATACGGGTTACTGCCACCCTGCCTTATTCCGGTTATCATTGGTATTGTACCGCTTTACTTGTTTGCTACTATGTGTATGTCTCGGTGTTCAGTTCTTCAACTACTTATATTATTTTAGGGAATGTTTTGTGGGGAAGTTGTTATATCAGTTAGTCAACTCTATTGAAGGCCTTAGTTAAGTCAATAAAATACACGAAAGCTACCTAGGTAAATCCTATGACTTTCTCAACAATTTAGCGAATTATACATATTGCATCTACATTCGACCTATTGTTTCTGAAACCTTCTTGTCCTCCACACAATTCTGTTGACATTAATTCCTCTGTTAGAATTTTGGAGAACAGTTTTAGTACCTGCACTCATCAAACTAATACTTCGACAGTTTTGTGGATATTACTTTTTTCTCCTTTTTTAAAACATGGCATCAATATACTTTCTTTCCACACAAATGTTATTTTTTCACTTTTCTTCTTCTGTTATTCTTTCACTTCAATTATTCTGTTGAAGAGGATAATCAGTTTGGTTAATAATATATCATCACCATATTTTAACATCTCATTCGTTATTTCATCGATGCCTAGTGCCTTCCTGTTCTTTACTTTCCTCGCCATTTGCTTTATTTTCGCCCAAGGGTTGGTTGGGGTTCTCGTCCTCTTGGGTTCTTGAAATATTGCTGCCATTCTTCTGATGTCAGTTTTGTATGTTTTATGTACTCATTTATTTGATTTTTCCTGGATCTGGGTAGAAACTATATTATCTCAAATATTTTAAAGACTTTAATTTAGATTAGATTTTAATTTACTTGTTTTTCACCACATCAGATCTCCCAGTATATTTAACGAACAAATTTACTGTTGTTTTACTTATTTTCTTGTCAAACGATTAATGTTACAGTTGCTTTAGTTCTTACAATCTGTATCAAATTTGCATCTTGCTATTTTTTATGAAACCTAAAAATTTGAAATTTAAAAACACGAATTAGACATACTATACATTCTTCTTCTGCTTCTATCTTTAATAAATCTATGACAGTGTTTTTTCAGAATATGCTGTGATATATTGTATATTTAAAAAAAGTTATAAACTTACTGATAAGTACACCACTTTTGGTTTGAAATGGCAGTAAAATCCGTAGTACAACCATGGAACGAAGGAACCCATAATTAGAAGAGCTATACCACAATAATCCAGCTTTGAAAATAATTTTCCTATAAATTGTGAATGACAGTTGACAGTGTGGAACATAAACGACATTCCCAAACAGATGATGGCTCCTGCAAAAAATGCTCCGAAGACCACTTTTTCTTGAATCTCAATTTCAGTATTTGGTCGCATTAAAAAGTAGATTGCAATTCCTAAAAAAAAAAAGAACAATCAACAAATGATGAATGTGTATTACAAACTAAGGAAGTATGATATGGCGGTTTTAAAGAAAAATAAATTTGCACTATTATTAACAATTGTGTACAACTTGACTATACTTGCATATTAAACTTGCATATTAAAATACCTGCAAAGGTAATTAAAAACTATAACCTTTAAATCCATAACAAATGCTACAGCTATTATTAAATTATCACTAAATTTTCTCAATTTTAGAAGAGTATATCGAGTGTAGTTTATTCTTATTAAACAAGTTGTTCAGTACCTATCATGATATCGAACTGTTTTGTTATGATTATTATTTAATAATAAAATCGTAGATATGATCCCCATTAGTAGCAAATCGTATGATATAAAGTATGCACATTAAGTTTACAATTTGGATGAGTAAAATTTTATTTCGCTTAATTATGTACAGAGCCATCCAGAAAATCTATATTTTACATTTACGTTATGCTGTTTTGTAATTTCCATATGTCGGTACGCGAAAAAAAAACCGATAAATCGTTTTTACCAATTTCCAATACGGTGGGAACATGGACGCCATCCTATACCGGTTTCGGAGTTTGAATTTGTTGATACCTGTTAGAACGTTTGCAAGAAGTCGGTTTAGATGGAAAAGACATCAAACTCTTAAAAAACTTGTACTGGAACCAAAAAGTCAGAGTTAGGATCGAAGGTTCCACATCCGCAGAAGTAGAAATTAGGAGGGGAGTTAGACAGGGATGTGTTCTGTCGCCTCTGCTGTTTAATCTTTACTCCGAGTTTCTATTTAAAGAAGCATTGGAAGATTCCAAGGATGGAGTCAAGGTGAATGGCGTAAATATCAACAGTATCAGATACGCCGATGATACAGTGTTAATTGCGGATTCCGACTCAGGTCTACAACGACTCATCGACAAGACCAACTCGACCTGTGAGCAATTTGGTATGAAAATAAACATTAAAAAAACCAAAGTGATGTCAATCCGAAAAAACCAAAACGTACCTCAACCTTGCACAATAAATGGGCACATCTTAGAACAGGTCAATAGATTTAAGTACCTGGGATGTTGGATCGATAGCAGCCTAAATCCTGATCAAGAAATAAGATCGAGAATAGAACAGGCTAGAAAATCTTTTGAAAAAATAAAAAAACTGCTTTGTGATTCTCGAATAAAACTCGAAATTCGACTACGTTTATCAAAATGCTACGTCTGGTCGACTCTTCTATATGCAGTGGAAACGTGGACCCTTAAAACATCAACCGTAAATAAATTGGAGGCCTTTGAAATGTGGATCTACCGGAGAATACTCAAAATTTCATGGACATCGCATACCTCAAACGAAGAAGTGCTGCATAGAATAGGCAAGGAAAGAGAACTTTTTAACACAGTTAAAGTAAGAAAAACATCATACCTAGGCCACATACTGATAAATAATAAGTACCAATATGCCCAACTTATAGTGAAAGGAAAAATCGAGGGAAAGAGAGGCCTAGGAAGGAAAAGACTATCGTGGCTCAGAAACATCCGACAATGGACAGGGCTAAATTTTGAACAGCTAATAAGAACAGCTGAAGATAGAGAAGAGTTTAAAATTGTAGTAGCCAACCTCCATTGAGGAGAGGGCACTTTAAGAAGAAGAAGATACCTGTGTAGGTCTAATGATAGACAAGTACCTTTCAATCACGATAAAATTTGGTTTTTTACAAATTTCTAACACAGGCTGTTACAGCGTTTTGCTTCCGAAGCATATACTTTTTGGAAATTATTTTCCAATTAATACCCGGTTATTACCTGTCATTGTTATTTCGCCTGAATTGTGCCATCTAGTTTCAATTAGACCCAATATGTTTATGTTGTCTCCTCACTTTGTGAATAGTGTACCTGCCACTTTTGCTTCCTCATATATTAATTTAACATTCCATTTGCTGATGAGAGTCCCTGTTATCCGTTTGTGGCATACCTCTCCAGACGAATATTGGTCGCCGATATCCATGATCAGTAGATTTTTGTTTTTGTACAGCCATGATGCTTGTACTACAGATTGATAATAGAGTGAGTTCTCCTTTCATTCTCCATAGCAGGAGCCATTGTTACTGATGCAGTCTTGCCTTCTAATGTCCAATACTGAACCACGCCTGGATCTTAAACATTCCTATAAAAAATTCCTTCTAGAAATTCTTATACACTAGAGTTTGGTACTATAATTGTTGCTTATCAATTTCATAAATGTTTATCGACTTTCTGTGGACTGTATGATTAAAATTGGAATAACTCTTATTTATTTTCAAATTAACCAATTTACCATAGTTTTGACCATAGTTATACAAAAGTCAGTTTTGTTTTTCAATTCAAATTGCAATAAAATACCACTTTCATATCACGTACCTACCAAGAAAGAAACTGTAACTATTTAAAAATTAAAAAACAGCAAGCTCCTGGGGAAAACGCTTTTATTGCCGAAAATAGAAGATTGAGAAAGGCTTCAAGAAAAAACTGAGAAATACATGAAGTGTGGATCATAGAATAAATACTCATAAAGTGGAGCTAGTCTATGCTCAATACATAAAAAGGATAGTTGCAAAATGTAGAAACTATTGGGAAATAGCATTATACGAAACAAAAGTTTTGGCGTTATCGACAAGAAACAAAATTAAAACCCATATATTTGCAGCAATTAAGCATTGTACATAATGGTTTATCGATTTCCGACAGGCCTATGATACAAACAACAGAAATAAATTTTTTGAAGCACTTTTAGAATATTTTGGCTTTCCACAAAATAAAAACTAACTAAATATAGTGATACTAGTAGTAAAGTTACGATAAAAGGACATGCCTCAGACAGTTTTAATATCAATAGAGGTCGTAGGCCTCTGTTGATGTTAAAACTGTGACCCTAAGGTTACCCTTTATCAAATTTATTTTTCAATTTAATCTTGGAGAAAATTTTACGAGAGACTTACATCCACACTAAAGGTTCAATATATCATCACATACATCAATAAGCAGCATACACGGATGATATTGTCTTAATCACAAGAAGACCAGCTGAATTAACATAAATTTTTAATAGATTAAAAAAGAAAACCTGGGAGTATGGATTAGACATAAATGAGGAAAATACAAAATATATGGTGATAAGGGGAAATCGGAATAATTTAGACCAGTTGAGATACCAGAAGGGTATTAACCGAAAACTATAGATTTGAATCGGGCAGCCGCTGCATTTGGTCCAAATATAAATAAAATGGAAACAAAATATATATAGTGCACAAAGTCGAATCAATATAAGAATCTGCAGGCAGACAACTATACCTACGAATATGCCTCGACTTTTCCCTACCTAGGTTCAATAATAAATAACAGCAACAACTTTAGTCCAGAAATACAAGCACGGATTCTTAAAAATGAACTATGAGGTGGATGAATTAATGCAGAACGTAAAAATCTTTAGTTTTGTAAAGTCACAAAGACTAAACTGGCCACTTAGAAAGAATGAAAGATAATTGAGCTGTAAAAGTAATCAAGAGATGGAAAAGCTCAAGAGATGGAAACCCCAAGCAAATAGGACAAGAGAAAGGCCCTGTAAGAGGTAGATAGACGACGTAGAGGAAGATCTTAAAACCATGAACATCAAGCAGTAGCGAAGGAAATTATCCGACAGGGATACTTTTCTTCCTATCCGAAAGGTTTGTAGTGCCATTAGAAGAAGAAGAAGAAGAAGAAGAGGAGGAGGAGTAACACTAACAAAAAGTAAATAAGAGAACCAACAAATCAAAATAAAAGTATTGATTAAGTAGTAAGAATGCTGAGAATTTAACTAAGATGTTATGAATTTAACTAAGATGTTATGGCCGAGGAAAATATTAAGAGTCATATATTTATATACAACAGTGATCCGACCAACAGAAGGTACTTTACGCAAACGAGAATAAGATAGATTATATCTTTGACCACCATTAGTCATCCAATATACAGTGTGATTACTTTTTTTAAATACAAAATTTTCTCTTCAAAGAAGAATTCGATATTTTTCTTCGTTCCGTATCACGTGGCCAAGGTACTCAAGCTTCTTTAAATTAAGCACTTCTTTTTCTTTTGCCATGCGCTGTAATACCTCAACGTTGGTGACATGGTCCACACACGATATTTTTAGTATCCTCCTGTAGATACACATCTCGAAGGCTTTAATCCGCTTTTCAGTGGCTTGCGTCAGTGTCTAGGCTTCAACTCCATATAGTAACACTGGAAGAATGTAGCAACTCATTATCCTCATCTTGGTTCCCAAACTGAGATCACTGCAGCACAGCAAGGATCTCAACTTGATAAATGTAGACCGTGCCATTTCAATTCTGGATCTAATCTCTTGAACGTAGTTCCATTGTGAGTTGAGAGTAGTTCTGAGGTAAGTGAATCTGTCGACTCTCTGGATCTACTCGCTACCTGCGATTAGTACCCCTAGATCTAAATTTGCACGGCTGACAACCATGAATTTAGTTTTCTCAATATTAAGGTCTAGTCCGTATGTTACGCTCACAGTTCTCACTCGGTTTAGTAAGGCTTGTAGATCATTTAGGCTGGTTGCTAGTAACACAGTGTCATCAGCGTAGCGGATATTATTGATGTATTCACCGTTCACTCGGATTCCGATTTCTAGGTTTTTGAGGGTTTCAGTAAAAATTTCCTAAGAGTATATATTGAAAAGAGATGGCGAGAGCACACAGCCTTGCCTTACTCCTCGCATGATCTTCACTTGGTCGGTCAGCTGGTCTTCGACCTTGACTTGAGCATGCTGGTTCCAGTATATATTCATGATGATCCGAATGTCCTTCTCATCCAATCCTACTCTTTGTAGGGCAGCGATCATCTGGTGCTGACAACGGTCAAATACCTTGGCGTAGTCAATAAAACAAATATAGACATCACAACGGACAACGCGGCATCTCTGAAGTAGGACTTGTAAGGTGAAAAGTGCTTCACGTGTA